CCGCAAACAGCTTCCAGGTCATGTGGCCAGCATCATTAAGCCACTTCTGGCGAACAAGAGCAGCACACGGAAACGCCGTTTACCTTCCCACTGGAGGGGTACCTATTTATCTACTTGCACTTTGACAGGCTTTCGAACTGCTAGGTTGGCAGGAGCAGGGACCGAGCAACGGGAGCTCACCCCGTCGTGGGGATTCGAACTGCCAACCTTCTGTGCAGCCACACAGACTTACCTGCCTGCCATGATGCTTGTGTGGCCATTATATTCCAAGCCAGGTCATTTGTCAAAGGATTGCAGAGGGACGGCATGTCTGGGCTTTTCAGCAAGTCCTAGGCTCTATGGTTTAACCCACAGTGCCACCAGTTACAGCCTTTCAATTTAACCTACCTTGTAGGGTTGTTGTGAAGATGAAAAGGGGATGGGGGAGACCCTAAAACCCCTTAGGGGAACATGTTACCCACTCTCATAGACCCACTCTCATCCCTTTATATACAGACCTACGTGCAGAGGGTGTTCATTCCTGTCCCATAATCCTGGCTGCTTCCTGGTCCTTCTATTTTAACTGAAAATAAATCCCTAAGCAGTTTGCCAAAAACGGTATGAAATATTTATTAAGAACAGAAATAAAAACAAACTTTAATAGCAGCTGACACAATATAGGTAATGTACACAGATTTTTACTAACAGATGTGCATAATAAAAAAAGATCTCTGGGTAGCCTTGCTTAAATCACTGCAACAAAAAAGACTTTAGCTGATGCTGAAAGCAGTAGAGAACTTGCCTGCTTAATATCAAAAAAATTCAGTGTGGGGAAGGAAAGAGTCTTAAGAATGGATAAGAGACACTCAGCTTTCCCCTGGAAACTGAATTAGGCTGAAACATAAACTGTAGCCCATGAGTTTGTGAGTCAAGTGCATCTTGGGCTTCCTTTGATGAATGGTGAGAATCGTTTCCTCAGGGAACCACAAAAAGAGAATGTTAAGTCCATTTAATTCACTTAGCAAATTCTAATGCAGGCTCTGGTTAGTTATGGACTCTCCAACATCTAAAGGAGCTTTCTCCCAACTTGGCACCCTCCCCTGCTGGCTGGGGCTTGATGGGAGTTGTAGTCCAAAACATCTGGAGGGCACCAGGTGGTGGTTGGTCCATTGAGATGGCACTGTCCCATCAACCTCTGCCTGCCTTTACCAGTTTGCTTTCTTGCTTACAAGCTTGTCTGTCAGCTTCCTCCTCTTCCCCATTAGTCTCTGGGTTGCCCTTGTAGAACTCAGCAGACAGGGAGAGGGACAAAGCTAGACTTAGTTGGCTCCATCTGTCACTGGCTCTCTGGCGCCACCCTCTGTTGGGCTCCCTGCCTTCTGCCCTACCAGTTACGATGGGCACCAGCCGCCATTGCTTATTCCTTCCTCATTTTCTCCATCGAACCACTTAAGCAATGCGCTCCACATCCAAAAACACTATCCAAACACTACATAATGAATGCAGATGGTGTGTACTTTGTAAATGATTTATAGGTACACATGTATGCAGTTCATTTATAAAATGCAAGTGATCCACTTCCAGACTCATCAGGCAACCTTGATGAAATATGCAAAGGGACAAGAGTGTTTCTGTGGTGGGTGGACTGGGAAGCCAACACCACAGCCACAGCCATATGCTGGAGAGAGAGAGATGTGCATTGTTATTGGAGTCAGAGAATGTGGGAAAGAAAGAGTGCAAGGTTTCATTCTTGAAAGTCTCCTGTAAATTTGCAGCTGAACATCAAAGCATCCCTTGCAAGACCTCAGCTGCTTTGCAATATATACTTTTGGAAACATGAGTTGCTAGAGAGTTCAAAGAAGACTTACTAATAAGTAGAATGGACCAGACTTGGACAATACGGTGGTACCTTGGTTATCAAACTTAATCCATTCCGGGAGTCTTTTCGACTCCCAGAACTGTTTGAAAACCAAGGCGCAGCTTCTGGTTGGCTGCAGGAGCTTCCTGCACTCAATCGGGAGCCATGGAAGCCGTGTTGCACATTCAGATTCCAAAAAACGTTCGCAAACTGGAACACTTACTTCCGGGTTTGTGGCATTTGGGAGTTGATTTGTTCGGGAGCCAAGCCGTTCGACAACCAAGGTACCACTGTAATTTATAAGATGGGAAAATAGTTTTTAAAGAAGAGGAGGAGGAGGAGGAGGAGGAGGAGGAGGAGGAGGAGGAGTTTGGATTTGATATCCCGCTTTATCACTACCCGAAGGAGTCTCAAAGCGGCTACCATTCTCCTTCCCCTTCCTCCCCCACAACAGACACTCTGTGAGGTGAGTGGGGCTGAGAGACTTCAGAGAGGTGTGACTAGTCCAAGGTCACCCAGCAGCTGCATGTGGAGGAGCAGAGACGCTAACCCGGTTCACCAGATTACAAGTCTACCGCTCTTAACCACTACACCACACTGGCTCCCCAAGAAGACTTCAGGCGTACTCCTAAGTAAGGGTGTAGGCCCAATGAAATTAGTGGGATCTGGCTGCATACTTCAGCAAACCTGAAAACACATCTTGATGATGTGTTCAGTTCTAGGACATCACCTGAGGCAGTCAATTCTAAGAACATAAAAGCTGGAACAGACCAACAGCCCATCTGGTCCATACCCTCCAACATTTCTCCGATGAAAATAGGAATGTCCCTAGGAAAAGCGGGACATTCTGGGATCAAATTGGAAACTGGGATGACTTCTGTAAATCCAGGACTGTCCCTGGAATATAGGGGCACTTGGAGGGTCTGCTAGTCCAGCATTCTGTTCTCACAGTGGCCAACCACATGCCCACAGGAAGCCTATAAGCTTCCCAGAGTGCAACAGCACCTTCACCACCTAGAATTCCCAACGGCTAATTGGGGGTATATGCATCTGATGGTAGAGGCAGAATGTAGCCAATGTAACTAGTGGCCATTGATATCCTTATTCTCCTCCTCCTCCAAGAATTTGTCTAACCCTGCTTTAAAGCCATCTAGGTTGGTGTCATCGCTCCCTCTTTGTGGGAGCAATGCAACTTGAAACGCAATAAGTCAAAACTGCCAATCATTGTTAAGAGGAAAGGACATCTGTAAATTACATTTCGTTCCATTAACTCGCTGGATCCATTTCCCATTGCACTGACTCTCTAGATACAAAACAAGGCATCAAAAATAAGCGAGCGAGCCCTTCACTCCCCGCCTCTCCCAATTAATCAACTAAAGCTTCATATGACTAACCCACTGATTATGGTAGATTAATCTACTGATTAATTGGATGGATAATCTTGCAGGGCCCTGTCATAAGAGAACAGGATGCTGGGCTGTGTGGGTCTTTGGCCTGATTTTTATTTTTATGTTCTTATTTTTTAAAAAATAACAATAATAATAATTCCTTTAGTCACTGAGAATTTTGATCAGGTTCAACCAGTAATGTAGGAAACAAAGTACAAGAAGCCCTTGGGAAATGCAGACTACAAGGTCAGCAGTTCTTAGGAAAACTGCATTTCCCAAGGCTACTGAGCTACCATGCCCTCTAGCACACACTGGACTTGTGAATCTTGCCTCCATCTCTAGCTATGAGGGTGCCTCTAGAAAATCCTGACTCAGGCACCAGTTGAGGATTTGGCAGTGTGCATGAGCATTTAATTGATGAACTGCCCAATTAGCTAAAAGCTCCTTCATTAGCTGGCGGCCTGCGAGTAGATATCATGTGACATACTTAGGCAGAACTTTCTGACATTAAGAGCTGTTCGACAGTGGAATGGACTTCTTTGCAATACTACAGTTCTATGATTCTCCCAGCATATTCCAGAATGTGGTCCAGTCTGTTATCTAGGACTGTGCAGCTGAGCTTCCTTTCTACTCTCCCCCACCGGCCACCCCATTCACGAGTCGTCTTAATGCATGCCTCGCCAGAGGTATCTAATGTCATGTCCAATTACGTCTAGTTAGGGGCTAATCTTCTATACAGTAAGGCAGTGCTCACCTTGAAGGATTCCCAGCGCTCATTTGCAATGCCAGGCCTTTGCTCACACCTGCGCTGATGCGGTAGGTACACAAATTAATCAGGAGCTCCAAAGAAGGAAGGAAGGAAAGGGGGGGAGGTGAGCGAAAGAAAGAAAATGTCCCTAAGTTTCTCGCCAATCAGCGATGACAAAGGCACTACAGCATGTGGGAAATGGTCTGCCATTCACTCCCGAACGAGTTGATTGCTCTCGACAAATGGCCCCTGAATAATAAGAAAAGGTACCAGCCGCATACCAGGGATACATCAAAGTCGCAGCTGCATCAGTCCAACTGAACACAACACATAGTAAGTGAGAGATGGAGCCCTTTTGTGGCTTTCTGTGAGCCGCGGAAAGTTCCAGAAGCAGTCTTCTTGCATGGTAGGTTTGCCTGCAAGGCAGCAGTCCTGAAGACTCATGGCAATGTAATAATAATAATAATAATAATAATAATAATAATGCAAATCGTTCCCTCTAATAGCAAAGAGGGGTGGTGCATGCCAAAAGTTTTTTTTCCAGCCAGAAATGAGAAACGAGAAGGTATTGACGTGCTCAGTGAAGTGTAGGTGGGTTCCCACGAGGAAAGACACAGCAACAACAGCAAGAACCTTTATGGAACAACATAACTAGGAAACAGAGGCAAAGCAACTGCTTATATACATTTCTCAAAGCCTGGGCCACTCCCATTCCCAGCGTGATTGGCTGTCTAAACTTCCAAACTGCGAATCACGACTCAGAGTTCAAGCACCAATGGCAGAGGCCCAAATCCTGAAATGTTCTGTGATTGGACAACATGTATCGAATCAGAAGACAGGAGCTCAGAATCCTTAGTCCACACTCAAGCTCAGGCAAACACAGAATGCTGAATACATAACACTCAGGGCAACCTGAAGGTTTTCAGGGGGAGGGGTGTGCAAAAAAGATGGGAAAAAGCCCAATGAAGACTGATTATGCTCAGGAATCATAGAGTTGGAAGGGACCACACAGTGCTGGGGAACCTTTTGCCCAACATGGGACTTGAACCCATTGCCCAGAGATTAAGAGGCTCTACCAACTGAGCTATTTTTCCCCATAGACTGTTGCATACCAGGAGATTCAACTGGGGTTGGGGTGAGAATGGAGTATTATGGAGGAAGGAGTCACTGGCAGGAACCAACTTGAGGATGTACAGCAGCATTTGATTGCAGGTCCTTCCACTTCTGTACATTTGCAAATAAATAGAGTGCAGGGAATGGGGAGCAGAGAGACAACACCACACTCCCTCAAGTAGCCAGGGCATGTTAGCCTTACCCTCCCACCATACATAGGGCGCTGCTTGCCGTCTGGAGGTAAAGATTCAGACGTCTGTCTCCTTCTCCGGCTGCGTTCCAGTTGCCAAACCATTTCTCTCCAGCCCCCATGCAAGCAGGCGGGGTGCACTCAATAGCTAGGAGCTACCAGCCGTGATTGCTCATTTTAGAAAGTATCTTCCAGCCACCAGTCCTCACTGCAAAACATTTTCCTGCAAATAACTATTCACATACTTTTGTACTTTGCGTAAGGTGGTCGACCAATTTGCTGGTTCTGCCACCTGCATTTGGCTTGGCTTCACTTTGACATAAATTTGAAGTCCATTCCTCTGACCCCAAAAATGCTGGGAACTGTAGTTTACCCCTAGCAGAGCTACAGTTCCCAGCACCCTGAACAAACTAACGTTCCCAAAATTCTTTGGGGTCCTTTAGATGTATGCCTTTGATTCTGCGATGCATTTAGAGGTATCTAGGGTGCCACTGGAGTCCTCCGTGGATTTGCTACAGCAAACAAAATCAGGCATCCTTTCGGAAGGTGGGGCGTGACAGAATTAGTGTTCCCTGCGAAGAGGGACTGATCATCAACCTGCACTGTGAACTGTAGCACTGCATTTCTGAGCACAATTCAAAGTGTTGGTGCTGACCTTTAAAGCCCTAAACGGCCTCAGTCTAGTATACCTGAAGGAGCATCTCCATCCCCATTGTTCAGCCCAGGCCCAAGGTCCAGCTCCGAGGCCCTTCTGGCGGTTCCTGCGAGAAGCGAGGTTACAGGGAACCAGGCAGAGGGCCTTCTCGGTAATGCCGCCTGCCCTGTGGAATGCCCTCTCATCAGATGTCAAGGAAGTAAACAACTATCTGACTTTTAGAAGACATCTGAAGGCAGCCCTGTTTAGGGAAGTTTTTAATGTTTGATGTTTTATTGTGTTTTTAATATCCGGTTGGGAGCCACCCAGAGTGGCTGGGGAAACCCATCCAGATGGGTGGGGTATAAATAAATTGTTGTTGTTGTTGTAATTCTCAGCATCCTTAATGTACTACACACACCTCTTTAATGTGGCATGATACCACATTAAATATATAGTGTAGATGGGACCATTTGGTGATCATAAAGACTCAAGAAACTGAAAATGACATACTTGCTCATCACTGAGGAGTGGGATGTTCTAGAGATTGCTCATTCTGGAGGATTCTCTGCAGCATCAACCAAGCACCTGCTTCCCATCCTGGCCTTATGGGGACTAAGCCCTCCCTTGCCTGGAGTCCCTTCTCTGCCCTCCCTCCTCCCCTCCCTCCCCACCCCTTTTCTTTTGGCAAACGCATCCTGATTTCTCCACTTTGGGCTTTGCCTCCCTCTCCGTGCCCCGGTGCATGTCAGAATGGATCAGATCTAAAGTGGGACAGCTCAGAGCGTGGCTTTAATTTGATACTCTTTCCTTGTTATTTTAAAAGGCAGCCACCACCTTTACATGCGCTCGGGCCATGAATTATTCATGTGCCAAACTTGCCGCTGTCCTATATTCCTGCTCGCTCCTCAGACTCGGGCGGCGGAGACATCTGCTGCTCTGTCCCTCTTGCAAACGAACGAACAAACAAACAAAAAAACATCCAGGTGAGAGTTGGATTGCCTCTTAGTAAGTCACAAATCTGCTGGGAGCTCAACAGTAGGTGGCGCCAGATCTGATGATAGACACAGCCAATGATGGGCAGAGCCAGTTGATTCTATCTTTGTCCCCATTCTCTTCCCTGCTGAGTTCTACAAGGGCAACACTGAGACTAAGGAGAAGGAAGAGGCCAGCCAAGACCATCCTCTAGTCTGGATTTGTTGTTGTTGTTGTTTGTTTGTTTGTTTGTTTTTTAATTATTTTCTTGGTTTACAAAAGTAGGTGCCTTGTGTGTCTTTTTTCAGGTTGTACAGTCTTTCTTACAAATCAGTTGCATTTGTTGTGAGATGTTAGTGCTGAGTACAGTACAGTGGTACCTCTGGTTATGTACTTAATTCGTTCCGGAGGTCCGTTCTTAACCTGAAACTGTTCTTAACCTGAAGCACCACTTTAGCTGATGGGGCCTCCTGCTGCCGCTGCGCCGCTGCTGCATGATTTCTGTTCTCATCCTGAAGCAAAGTTCTTAACCCGAGGTAGTATTTCTGGGTTAGCAGAGTCTGTAGCCTGAAGCATATGTGACCTGAGGTACCCCTGTATAAGGTTGGGGAAGAAGAGGAGGGGTAGGGTAGCGAGGCTTATATTCTTTTGTATAGTGTATGTGGGGAGGGGGGTTGTGTCAGCGTCAACTGGGTAGGTTCTCTTTCTATCCGTTTATTACATTGCCTTGGTAGTGAGAAGTATGGGGGGGCAGGGTGTGGTTGGCTGTCTGTGGTCGGCTGCAGTGGGGTCTGTTTGCATTTCTGAGGGGGTGGGACAGCTTGTTGGGTCAGGTTAGGCAGATTGATTCATATGGATTCTTGTTGTTTTCTTGTTGGGCTGTGTCAGGGAACTGCCATCGGCTCAGAGGCGACAAATAGAAGGGCAGTTGTGTTACAGGGAGCCTCCGAAAATCTTGAGAAGCAGTTCCTCTTCCGGGGAGGAGGAAAGCCCCACCTCTAGTAGGGAAGAGGTGCAAGGACCAGAGGATGCTTGTGGGAGCCTTTGCACCGCTCCTGGGCAAGGCGGACAGGAGGGAAACACGCCCTTGCCATCGTCCATCCTGCACAGTAGCCTAAGGCACAAAGAGGGAAGGAGAAGGTTGGGGGTAACGAAACTCTTATGTTGGGGGAGGTCCAAAAAAAGACCACTCCCTGATTCTGCTAGCGATTGAGCCAGACATGAGCTTTGGGGCTCTTCACTGTAAATAGTTTGCACCAAAATAAAACCTGTAAAACACAGGTTTGGAGTCCTGCCTGGTTACTCTCGAGCAACCGCAACAGCCATCTGACAGGCTGTGTATGTGATAAAGGGGAGACCTACTGGGGTGAAGGCGTCCTCTTCTATTTGTCCCTGTCTGGATTTAAGTGAGAAGGCAAGTAGGCTGGCTGAGAGCATGTGGAGGCTGCTTGGGGCAGTGACCCCATTTTCTCTACTTAGCCAGCTTTCGCTGACTCCCTGTGTGTACCAAACTAGCCTGTCAGGGAGAAGAAAGCTAGTTTTAGAACTCTTCTCCCCCATGCAGGCTAACTTTCCACAAAGTAGGCATTGGGGGGGGTGTCAAACATGGGGTTCCCACACTGGCATCTTGAAGTGGTACAGTCCCAGCAAAGCTATACCACATCCATTTTCTGAGCATGGATGCTGGCTGGAGGAAAATGCATTTGGCGTCCTGCTACTATTTTAATTGTTTTCTCCTGGCTGTGTGTATAATCTGCAATCTTGGCGCAGAGTGCCTTGCCAAGAAAAGCCAAAGTCTTCCCAGCCTTCGGGGCTAGAAATCTGCTTTCTGAGATGCTCGGAATGCAAACACGATAGGCAGTGTCAATATTTGTGCATTGCTTGGTACAGTCGTGGGATGTGTGCTGCACACTGATCTCCCTCTTTCTCTTCTTGTGACGCTCCGTAGGCCACACCCCCTCCCTGGCCACAAACCTCTCTCTAGCCACACCCACTTCCACCAGGCCACACCCACCACCAACTTCACTTGACGTTCTTGTTGAATGTTTTTGCCTGACTAGGAATGCGTCCTTCCAGTGCTTCTCAAACTTGGATCCCTGATTGTTGTTGGACTACAACTCCCATCATCCCTGACCACTGGTTCTGCTAGCTAGGGATGATGGGAGTTGTAGTCCAACGACAGCTGGAGACCCAAGTTTGAGAAGCACTGTTTGAGCACTGGTAGTGTGGCTTACTTGACTGGATGGATGAAGGACAAAGAGGGGTGTGCAGAAACTACCGTACTTTTTGCTCTGTAAGACACACTTTTTCCCCTTCAAAAATTAAGAGGAAATGCGTGTGCGTCTTATGGAGCGAATGCAGGCTCCTTGGCTTCAGCGATAGCAACGCGAAGCCTCCAAAGCGCAGAGGGAGAGCTTGCCGACGCTCTGGAGGCTTCGCGTTGCTTTCGCTGAAGCCGCCTGAAGCCCCCGGAGCGCAGCGCGAACTCCCACTGCGCTCCAGGGGCTTCAGGAAGCTATCCGCAAGCCTTCGGAGCTTCGCTGGAGAGGCGCTGCACAATTTTCCCTCTCGGCGCAGCGCCCCTTCAGTGAAACAGGAGGAGAAATGGAAGGGGCTCTGTTTCTCCTGCCGCTTTGCTGAAGGGGCACTGAGCAGAGAGGGGGCAAAAAAATTTTTTCCTGTTCTCCCCCTCCTATGGTCCGGTGCATTCTATGGTCCAGTGATTCCTATAGAGCGAAAAATATGGTAGCTGGACAATTGGAAAATAGGGACAATTGGAGAGTATCCATTTCAGAGTCAAAGATGGAGGGCAGCAGAGCCAAATGTGGATAGGGCACCCACATTTTGTTGTTCCCTTCTGCCACCCCTGTTTTTCTCTCACTCTGGGTGGCTTCCAACATATACAAAAAGATAATAAAACATTAAAAAAAACCCCTCCCCTCTACAGGGCTGCCTTCAGATGTCTTCTAAACGTTGTATAGTTACTTATCTCCTTGACTCTGTGGTCGCATAATTCCATACCCTCCAACATTTCTCTGATGAAAATAGGGACGTCCTAAGAAAAAGCGGGACATTCCAGGATCAAATCAGAAACTGGGGAGGTTTCTGTAAATCTGGGACTGACTCTGGAAAATAGGGACACTTGGAGGGTCTGGCAATATGTAACCCTAACCCTAACCCTGGGGCCCAA